CAGTGGACTGCAGTGGCTGGTGAGTTATTCTGGTTCAGATGTCCCCCAGGAGAGGGTGACTGGCCAGTAGCCATCTTGGAGAGGGGCCAACTGAGCTCGGAACTCAGAACAGCTGTGGGCTGGCTCGATCTAGTAGGTGCTGGTGTCACGGTGAGGATGCCAAGTTCAAGTTGTTCTTGTCGGCAGAAGGCACATAGGCTGTTGCAGGCTCAACAAGTCCAGTTCCAGCATCACAGGCAGAAACCAGCCTGAACTTCAGTGGAACTAAAAGTGCAGGCTTGCTGAGATTATCAACTACCCCACTGTAAAGCTATGGCTGGCTTCTTGGGATTAATCAACCCAGATCTGGACTGTGTCTCCCCAAGGTGTCTACCAGTGACAGGAGAGACATGCCTTGAACGAGACATCTTTTTTCTTTTTCCTCCCCACTTTTCTGGTTTTTGTTTTTTTTCTTGATTATTTGTTCTTGTTTGTTTGTTTTTGGTACTGGGGTTGAGCTTGTGCTTGTGAGGCAGGCATGGTGCCACTGAGCTAAATCCTCAGTGATTCCATCGCCTGTCTCACAAGTGCATGGATTCGAGTTCAAGCCCCAGTACCAAAAAGAAAAAATGAGAAGACATTTAAACAGGATGCAACCCCACCCCCAGACTTTCAGCTCATCAAAGGCAAACCCAGGGAGCAATGAGATGGAACAATTCAAAAGCCACTCACCTGGACTCTCTGAAGTGGTAACAGGGGAAGGAACAAAGCAGGTGAACAAAGCTCTAGAAAAAAATCAAAGCAGAACTAATTTCCCAGATTACTACAAAGATGGTGACCATAATGAAAGACATGCCTAGTGACTCTGGAGTGGATACAGATTTATTTTATTTTATTTGTTTTTTTTTTGAGACAGGGTCCCACTATGTAGTTCAGATTGCTCTGGAACTCACTGTGTAGCCCAGGCTGGTCTCAAACTCGAAGCAATCCTCCTGCCTCAGCCCTCCAAGTGCTGGGATTACAGGCGTGCACCACCACGCCTGGTGTAAACAGATACAGATTTAAAATAATAGAGGAGTTCAGGAAAATGATGGAAACCATGAATGCCAAGCACAGCAAAAAAATGGAATTCATACTCCTATAAAAACAAGAACAGTGTAATCCCAGCACTTGGGAGGCTGCACCCTTTTGCCATCTCTGCAGCTGTGGAATTATGAAACAGAGAGAAATTCTATTTTTCCTTCAATAGCCTAAGCCCATTTTCTTATTGTGTAGTGTATTCCTTAGCTTGAGTCTGTGGTGGTGGGGCAGTTGTCATAGCAATATGGGAGAAATGTAACTCCTAACCTAATAGATGTCAGATATGCTAAGTTTTTTTTTTTTACTATTTTCTTTTTCTTTTGGTACCAGAGATCGGACTCTGGACCTTGTGCTTGTGAGGCAGGCAGCAGAACCACTGAGCTAAATCCCTGGACCTGCTGACTTTTTTTGTTTGGGTTTTTTTGAGACAGTGTCTTGCTTTTTTTATTCATTATGTAGCCAGGCTGGCCTCCAATTTGCAAGGATCCTCCTGCCTCAGCCTCCCAAGTGCTGGGATTACAGGAGTACACCACTATGCCTGGCAACTGTGCAGAGTTCATGAGCACTTGAAATCGAAGAATGAATTCCAAAGGACAAAGGGGTTAAGGGTAGGAACGGTTTACTAGGGACAGGAATAGGGCCTGAGAGACAGGAGGGATTCCAGAAATGGGTTGCCTCTGAGGTTATTTCTCCAAGAGTGTTTTATAGGGCAAAATCATGAGGTAGGTACATAGTGGTTTAGCTGCTTAGCTAATATTGATCCAAAGGGGGAGCAACACTAGTAACAAGGGTACAGGGTTACATCATTAACCTGGGTTTATCTATAACATCTTAAGCAGGAATGTTTTGGGGAAGGTGCCCTGTTTACCCATCAGGGTGTCTGATATGTATCAGGATTTAATGGACTGGGTGGTACCAATTACAGTATAATCTCAAATTTCAGTTCATCCTTTAAAGAAGTATGCAATCTGCCATTGTGACTTTATCCAAATGCACCTCCACCCACAATTCTGAGGTCTCCACCTTTCACTGACTTCCTTGAAGCTAAGTCTCTCTGTGTCTGATTTTTATCTAACTCAGCTGCCTACACTAATAGCGCTCACTAATCAGTGTCCGGAGTCTGGGGTGGAGGAGGTACGCTGCAAGGAAAAATTTTTAAAAAATATATAAAATCAAGGAAATAAAACTCTCACTAGCTGGGAGGGGGCTGAGTAGGTTATCTTCCAGGGTTGTTTGTGTAGATTTTGTTTTTTTTTTTTTTTTTTTTGAGACAGGGTCTCCCTATATAGTTCAGGCTGCCCTCAAATTTACAGCGATCCTCCTGCCTCAGCCTGTGCCTGGGATTACAAGCCTGTGCCACCATGCCCAGCCCCAGCCTTTTCTTTAAACTTTGAGATGGGGTCTTGCTAAATTTCTCATGTTGGACTTGTGGGAGCTTACTTCTCCCTGATTACACCTTATTTTTCCAGTTTTATTAAAAACGACTAATCTCATTTCAATATTCAATTTTTTGTCAGGTATTCAGAACTCTACTAATATATGGATAACAGAAAGGGATGGAGCTGCTCCCCACATAGCTCAATATGGAGAAAGCTTGCTTACCACTGTGGTGGAGAGAACATGAATTTGGACGACAGACCCAGAGTTCAAGTCCTGCCTCTGCCACTCCTACGAACACCTCTTGGCTAGTGTGGGGCGTGAGCTCCTTGGGACCAGAAGGGTATGTGTTCTCTTATGCTCCACAAAAGCAGACAGAGTCGGACTCTCCCCAGTCTTCAAGGACAAGCGTGCACTTCTCCCTTGTCTGCACCACCAGTGACCCTCTTCCTTGGTGGGGTTCTCAAGGAACTTTAGATTTCAGCCCAGACTGCCCCTTCTGTGGGGAGCCAGAATGCTTCCTTTCTTCCTAGTTATGTGACATCGCTATGCCTAAAATCTTTGTTCCTCAGCTTCCTTATCTGAACATGGGGAGCCTTAGTGGGAGCCTCTAACCTCAGAACACATCACCACGAGTTCAAGGCCAGCCTTGAACAAAGTGGGTTCAGAGTCAACCTGAACTATGTAGCAAGACCTTGGCTCAAAAAAAAAAAAAACACAAAAAAAACCTGGTAAGAAATAAAACCAAAACACTAGGCCTGGAACTGGTGTCCAGGGAGTTGCCTAGTGGTGCGTTATGTATGCTGCCTGAGAACGTGGCAAGAGGCTCTCACTCTGGTCACAGGCATCTGCCTGCTACAGCGCCTTAGTGTCTAGGTGAGATGCTAAGAGGTTGGCTTGCTTTCCTTCCTATTTATTTATTTTTGTAGTACTGGGGATTGAACCTAGAGCCTTCACACTGACCTACATCCTCAGTCACCCCCTCATTTTTTTTTTTTTTTTTTTGTACTGGGGATTGAACTCAAGACCTTGTACTTGCAAGGCAGGTGGCAGCATCCCTGAGCCAAATTCTAGGTCCTTCCCCTCATTTTGAAAAAGCAATTAATATAGCTTTATTTTTTAATTTCCAATCAAAATTGATGCTTCTTGTTCTCAGCTTTTGCGCAATACTTGTTTATCCTGGTCCCCTAATATAACAGTTATATCCCACAGGGCTGGGCACTATTTGACACTGGGGAAAATTACTAAAACAGAGCCAGGTGTAGCACACACCTAAAATCCCAGTGCAAGGGAGGCTGAGGCAGGGAGATCCCTGGGAGTTCAAGGCCAGCCTGAACTACATAGGGAGAGCTTGTTTCAAACAAAACAAACAGATAAACACACAATGATAAAAAGGAGGCACCTAGCACAGCAGCAGAGAGAATGCAGTGAGAGGGCCTTGCCCTTTATTTTTTTTGAGACAGGTCTCACTATGTAGTTCAGGCCGGCCTTGAACTCACTAGGTCGTCCGAGCTGGCCTCAAATTCAAGGTGATCCTCCTCCTCAGGCTCCCCAATGCTGGGATCACAACTGTGCATCACCACACTCAGCCCATACAACAAAAAATGTTCAACTGGGGGTTTAGCTTAGTGGCAACAGTGCCTGCCTGGTAAGTAAGAAGTCCTGAGTTCAATCCCCAGTACAAAAAAAGAGTTTATTTTGAGATAGGATCTCACCAAGTCCCTGAAATACCTACACTTGACTTGGATTTGTGATTATCCTGCCTCAGCCACCCAGAGTGCTGGGATCACAGGTGTGAGCTACATACCTGGCTAATGCAGCTGCCACTATCCTGGGCTTCTAAGCCACTGTCTCTGGGGTACACAATGGAGAATATATATCCTCATTCTTTGCCCCCAGAGGACATTTTCCCTCCAGAATCACAAGATGCCAGTCAAATTCAAGAGAGAAGGGTTAATGGTAGAGGAGCAAGTCCCTTCCCACCCTGTGTTCAGTCCTGTAGCAGTGCTTTCCATGCCATCCACATGTGGACCGCTCACAAGCTATATCCCTAGTCTACTTTACCACTTGGAGGGTGAAGGCCCTGTATTCAACCACTAGTACCATGGGGTGGGGTGGAGGGGACCATAAAGTACTGAGATGACAACGCAGGGAGATCTGATTGACAGGATTGAAAAGTGGTTAGGAGATGGTCACATGTGAGCTGTGACCCAGTGGCCTGAAGCAGTAAGTGCAAAGGCCCTGTGGCAGGAACTCTGTGTCAGTAATGGGGTGGACTCCTGGTCTGGAGAAGCCCTCAGAGAAGCTGCTCTGACCCAGAGGTCTCCTCAAGCTCACCCTCTAAGGTTCCAGCTTATCTAGGAAGGCAGCAGCTTTCCAGGCTGAGGTCCCCCTGACACCACCCAGAAGCCCCAGGGCTAAGCCGGAACTGAGTGTCCTGGTTCCTGTTTGGCAGGGGTGAGCAGACATCCTCCCCGCCTTTTCTCCCCAGGTTCCCCAGGCTCCGGCCCTGGCCCCAAATCTCCATGGCAACCCCTAGACACAATCCTGGCCCAAAGGAGCACAAAGATCACAGTGAAGACACGGAGGAGCTGCTGGACTTGCCTCCCTTGCTCCTTGTGCCCTGCCAGTGTCCCAGCTTGCTGCCCAGACCCTCACACCCCAGTGTCCCCAAAGACCCCCAAGTGAAGATTCCGCAGGTCTGGCACACGTCTGGGCACAGCAGACCCCAGATGGAGCTGGCTCTCCTGCGGCTGCCCCAAACACTGCTGCTGCTGGGGACAGCTGCCCCTGCCGTGTCTGACCTGGAGATGGGTGAGTACCTGACGGCACCGGAAGACTCTAGCCCCACCCCTGGTGGCCCGCCTGGTCTGGTCCTGCTTAGCGGGGAGGCTGGAAACCCTGTGCCTAGTCTTGCTTGGTGCTCCAAGTCCACCCCAAACCCTTGTAGGAGGCTGGCTCCAAGGCTCCCACAAGTAGGGCCTGAGGGTGGGCTGGCCCTTGGGTGTGGAGAGGAAACTTGTGGACCCTAGAACAAAAACCGCTTTCCCACACTTACTCTGCCTGTTGCTACATCCTGACCCTTGAGATCACCATCTTATTCACCTAAGCCTCAGTTTTTTTCTAGTAAAATAAGAATAATGATAGAAACTTGCCCCCCTGACCTTTTTGTTTGTTTTGTTTTTTTGAGACAGGGTCTTGCTATGTAGCCCAGGCTGGCCTTGAACTCCAAACAGTCCTGCCTCAGCCTTCTGAGCGCTGGGATCATAGGTGTGCACCACCATGGTCAGCAGTTGTGGGGAGTGTTTCTCGGATTGGGCTGCAAGCCAACCTTTTTTATTCTGAGACAAGGTCTCACAGTAAGTGGCTAAACTGCCCGGGCTAGGCTGGGACTTGTGGTCTTTCTGCCTCAGCCTCTAGAGTGCCAGGATTCTAGGTATGAGCCACCATGCCTGGCTAGGACCTTTTCCTTTAAGGTACTATTATTGTACATGATAAGGTGAGATAAATTATACGAGATACTTTGAGAGGTGCCCACTTTGATTCACTCTAGACTGCTACCCTGCTGGGTGTACTGGCACATGTCTGTAATCTCAGCACTTTAGGAAGAGGAGGATTGAAAGTCTGAGGCCAGCCTGGACAACTTAGCGATACCCTGTCTCAAAAGAGAAGAAAGTGCTGGGGATGTGGCTAAATGGTAGAGTAACTCGTGTGCATGAACGCACTGAAAAAATACACAAATCTCCTCGCTACCCCGTCGGCCTCTGGTGGGCACAAAGATGGGAATGTGTCTGCATCCTCAGCTCCAAGGCAGGAGTTCTCCCCTGAAGACCCACACTCTGGCAGATCCTTGATCACACACTTGTGCCCCTTCCTGCACCACGAAATCTCCCTTCTCTCTCTGCCCTTAAAAAATCAGAGGTAGTTTGAGCACTTACACAAGTCTACTAGTCAAGATGTTTTGGATTGTAAGAAACAGACACCAAATTAACAGAAATTAAAGTATAATGATATGTGGGCTGGGGATTTAGCTCAGTGGTGCCACTGCCTGCCTTGCAAGTGCAAAGTTCCAAGTTCTCTCGCCAGTACCTCCCCCCAAAAAAGGTGACCGAAAGTATAATGATGTGTCGTTTCAATATTCATTATTACAGGTAAGAAGAGTGTCAGTAGGTGATCCCAGAGATGGTTGATTCAGCACTGATGACCTCATTACCTCCTAATTGTAAAATGGCTGCTGCAGCTCCAGGCCTCACATTCTAACAGCTCTCAGAAGCAGGAAGAAAAGTAGATTCCTCATCACACAGCACTCTTTTTTTTTTTTTTAAGGAGAAAAACAGCTCCTCAGGAACTTGCAACAGACTTGTCCTTAGGTCTCACTGGCCAAAACAGGTCACATACCAATCCTTAAACCTGGCAAATAAGGGTTACAAAACTCGGTTCTTTTAGCACGAGGACACAGAATAGTTGTTGGGTGGGCAGGCACCCAGAAATGTCTCCTCACCCTTCAGTACGGCAGCTGACACTCCTGTAACACTCATTAGAGGCCAGGTGCCATCCTAAGCCCTGTACCGACCACAGCCACCGTCATTCGGTAGCAATCCTAGCAAGCAGAGTGCTGCGAAAAGCAGCGAAAAGTTTATTTTGTTGGCAACAAGACGCAGAGTCACAGAAGACTGCTTATTGTTTCTTTTTGCACCCCTTGGCCAAAGGCTGGTACAGTTGTGCTCGAGAGCCCATTTGGGGCTGCAACTTAATACAGTGTATATACATCACATTTCCAAAGTCTAGAAAATAAGAAACATAGCCCCCCACGCCCAGGATTGGACCCACGACCTTCACACTGAACTACACCCAGCCCCAGCCCGCTTCCCTCTTTGTTTCAATTTGAGATAGGATCTTGTTAAGTGCTAAATTGCTCAGGTGGAGATGGAATTTGAGATCTTCCTGCCTCAGCCTTCCAGAGTGCTCAGATTACAGACCAGCGCCACCTGAGACAGGGCTTTGGCATAAGGGATTGTGGCCTGAATTAAATCATTTAATCCTCACAAAAATTCTGAAACTGCTCAACTACCCACATTTCACCCACAACTAAATGGAGGCTCGAGGCGCCGAGTGACTCGCGGGGGTCACACAGGGAGTGGGGACTGAGGCCCTCCGGAACCGGCCGGTGACCCCGGCCCGCTTTTCCCGCAGCCGACCTGGTGGAGCTGTGTGGGCAGACGTGGCAGGGCGACGGGCTGCTGCTGCGCTCTCACTCGGCCTCGCGCAGGTTCTACTTCGTGGCTCCGGACACCGACTGTGGGCTCTGGCTGCG